GGATGAGGATATGAAGAGGAAAGCTAACAAAAAAATAGGTTTCTGTGTTCATATACAGCTGCTGCATGTGCCTGCTTCATATTCACTCTGTGTACATTACTGGCATATGTTTTTTTAATATCTCTGCAAAGGTGGAAATGGGCTTCATAGAAAAGTGATGACAAAAAAGCCAGTGTGGAAAGGAAAAAATCATAACAAATCCATCCTGTATACAGTTTGCTGTAAGGCATGTGGGAGATGCAATGAACATGAGGAAATGGTTCTCTGGTCTGACTAATATTTAATTGTTTGGCCTAAGCACTAAAGGGGTTAATGTGTTTTAAAGTAAGAATAGGCTGCTCACTTTGCAAGCTCTGATGACCATTATCCAATCATGTGCAAACAAAAGCACAGTTTTTTTTTATTTGCTCATGTTTAGGCATTTTTGCCACTTTCACTGACCTAAAGAAAGATTTCCTTGCAAAGTGAACAGCCTATTTGCCTTTAGTAAATCAACGCCTTTGTGTGGTATACAGCCGACACTGTTCATCGATCTTAGAATACCATCATCATGGTGAAACAAGGTTGTAGTAGCATCATGGTATGGTGATGCCTTTTATTGTCAGGGACTAAAAAAACTGATCAGGATTAGGGGAAAGACAAACAAAGTCAGTTGTTTCAGACTGAGGTGGATATTCAATTTCCAGCATGACAATTACCCTGAATACACATCCAAAGCTAGGCTGGAGAGGTTTAAAACCAAGAACCTCAATGTCTTAGAATGGCCCTAAAAAACCTTCGACCTCAATCAAATTCTGAATCTGTGGCAGTTACCTTTCTCCAAAATAAACTTGCTCTTTACAGTCATCAGCCTCAATGGACATTAGACATTACTGGTGGTATCGTGCAAACATTAACCATTTTAAACTTATAGCTAAAGCAATCCAATCAGACATTAGACATTACTGGTGGTATCGTGCAAACATTAACCATTTTAAACTTATAGCTAAAGCAATCCAATCAGACATTAGACATTACTGGTGGTATCGTGCAAACATTAACCATAGATTTCAACAGGAGCTTAAAAAGGGAATACTTAGGTCCCCCCAATGTGACCATAGGCAGGGATGTAGATATCGAGGGAGAAAACGACCAGAGAAAGTGAAAGTAAACAATAGAAAAGAAAATAGTGAAGGAAAGAAAAGGTCAGACCAGTGATAGATGATTCCATGGGGTGTGGCACCTGGAAAGGCAATAGCTCAGTGACCTTTCCCCAAAAAGGTCCTCAGGGTAGTGCGCAAGGAAACACCAACTATGTAACCAACAAAAGTCAGTTAGTCTATATAGTCAAGAAATCTGCATTGAGAGAGAGAGAGATAGAGAGAGAGAGATAGGAAGCGATCCATAGTTCCCAGACTTGTTGGAAACATTGTAGGGTATCAGTTTGAGTGACTGAAGGTGTCTCAAACAATATCACCAGTGAAACTCAGCACTTAACTTCAGCAAAAGGGACCAAAGGGGCCTTCCACACTTACGTATTGAGTCCCTTAGCTTTGGTTAGTATATAACCAACAAATTTAAATTGGCAAAGGGTGCACACCTCCAATTTTTGAGTGATAATTCTTCAAAAGGATCTTTATGAAAGATTTGACTGGTTACCACATACAATAGCTGGTACACCCTACTCCAAAACGGTCTAACAGAGGGGCAGGGCTCATCGTAACATGATCGCATCGTGGTCAGACCACAGAATAGGAACAATTGACTCAGAAAAAATGTGGCCAGATATGGTCTATACAGAAGAAGGTGTTATGAGTGTTAAAAAGTATGTAGAGGTTTCCTTAGTAGGATTGAGTTCCCTCTAAGAATCAGCCAGATAATGTTGGGATAAGAGGGTACGGAATTGTCGAGTAGAGAAAATATCGGGCGAAGATAAGGTGAGATTGAACATGAAGAAGAGATACATCTTAGAAGGAACATAATTGCAGCATAAATGGGAACACAATGGGAAATCCGAAAGGGACAAGCACTGGGGAAAGCAGCACAATAGACTTCAGGAAAGGCAGGTTTGAAATTAAGAGTTAACACACCCATTTATGACTAAACACTGTAGTTAAACTAATATTTCATGTTTTTTCTCCATTTAGGTTCTCAGCTTCTTCTATCGTTCAGTGCTTACAATTGGACTTATGGGTTTTGCCTGTTGGCCTCTGGTTGCAAAGCTGTGGGGACAAGCTAAGGTACTATTTTGTCAAATTGGTTGGTTGTAAAGTAGAAAACCACATGCAGGTGCTTAGGCTGAAATCTAGCTACAGCTGCTAAATAATAAAGTTCTTATATCTGTATCTGAAATGTTGTGTTAATTCAGGGATGGACATATTTTTGGAGCCAGATAACCAATGTGGCTAAAATTAAACCCAATTACTTTTATATATTATATACTCAGTTGATCTTACTATGTGCACCTACACAGTAGGACCCCCTTTTGCTTTCTGAACCTCCTGAATTCATTGTAGCACGGATTCAAAACGATGCAGCAAATGTTTCTTGGCTTAAGCTGACTTGAAAGCACCATGCAGTTCCCAGAGGTTTGTAGTCCATAGATTCATGTTGATAACCTCTGCATCATACTAATTTCTAAAGATGCATGTCGCGTATGCCAAATATCGACCCTAGCATCTGCATGTCACAACAGAAACTGAGATTTATCAGGCCAGGCAATGCCTTTTTAGTATTCAGTTGCCCAGGTTTATTTATTCTGTTCCCTACGTAGCTTTACATTTTTGTTCTTAGCTCGCAAGAATGGACCATAGCATGGCCTTTTTGTAGGTGTAGCCCATGATCGTAAAGATTTGATGTGTTGCATGTTCAGAGATACCCTTTTCTACCCACTGTTTTTTTTCTATCACCCACTATTATCTGATCTCTTATTAACATGTTGTTTTCTGGCACAGAACAGCCACTCTTGTATGTTTTTAATGTATCACAGCATTCTCTGTAAAATTGTGAAAATGCTAAGATGTCCGTAATTTCTACAACTTCAAGGTCTGGTACTAACAATAATCTGGCAGTAAATGAGATCATACATCTTCCACACTCTAATGTTTAGGTAAATAAAAAACTTCAACTTTTGACTATCTCTACATGCTTTACGTATTACATTTTAGCCATGTGATTCACATGAGCTATTTGCATTAATGAGCATGTGCACCCAATGAAGAGTCCACTGAGTATATTCAATGCAGGTTGCCATCTCTGACCTCTCCTACTGAAAATGCTAGTTGCCTGACTCTTATGCCGATGCTTTGACTGCCACTAGTTACTGAATCCCTAATCCAGGACTTTCATTTGCTGCATTCTTGTTCCTGGTAAGTGAAGTATTGAAGCCATTCACTGCCTGGTGGGTAGCTTTTTCAAAAGAAGGTCAACAATGACATCCCCCATGTTTTTCTCATGAGGAGATGCATTTTTATATAGTGTTAGGCATGTGTTTATGTGTATAGCAGGTTGCAGGAAACAAGGAAAGGGGTATGAGGTGGATTCATTCTAAATTTGGACCTCATGGTTAAGTAGACTAATTGTTAAAAACAATCAAAGGTCTATCCCCATCTTTTGCTTTCCATTGGGTCAACTGAAGGGTTCCAGGTAGCTTAAACTGGTGTAATAAAATGATGTGACACTTCTGAGAAGGGGAAAAGACCACTGGTACCCTCAAACTCGTAAGATTTGTTGAGAATCCAACATTTGGGGGAGTTCAGCATTGTCTTTTACGTGTGAGTGCAAATAAAAAAAATGCATTTAAGCCTCATTTAAACAGTAGTATAATTATAACCTTTGTCCCATAAGGCATTTCAACAGAATTATGATTGCATTGTTAAAATAAATTGGATTGTAATGTTTCTTTCTATTTTTCTATTTGAAATCTAGATAAAATGTTTGAAAATCATTAACATGTGAAATAATAAGGAAGTCTTTTCCTTCTTCCAGTAGCAGATTTAGCCTGCTGCACTGTGCTGGGAAACAGCTGGATTGATTTTGCTGTTCTGTCAATTCTGCTTGTGTACATGATCTCCCACAGTGCTGTTACCGATATTTACTTTTTTTTTTTCCCTTTCTCTTTCTTTGCAGCTAACAACTATGAGTTGGGTTCTCTTGTGCTTGCTGCTGGCAGTGTTTCCCCTGATGCCTGTTGTTGGAAGGGAGCCCAACATCACTCTGGTGTAAGATCAACATTGTCTTCCTAAAAGCTTTATATCACATTTAGTACGCACTGATTCAGTGAGTCTTGTCAGACACGTGAGCTATTGTGGAGTCAGGGGAAAAAGGATGTTATTTCAATAATGAAAGACACTGCTTTGATGGGTTGCTGATGGTTATTCTTGTGTGCATTAAGTAGACTTGGAGAATTTAAAGACATTTATTTATTTTGTTTTGTAATATATGTATTGGGTTTCACTTTTTTTCGGCCCCTCAGGTTATTTTGTGAACATCTTTTAATACCTTTTTAGCGTTTTTTTTCTTAAACAAATCTCTTATTTTCACTTATTAGGAGTGATTTCATTTTGTCATCACTGGGTAACCATTTGTTATGGTTCAAGAAAGGTTTCTCTCCATGCAACACATTTGTTTGCTTATGGTTCACCAAACTAGTAATCTGCTTTAAGTGCTCGATTCAATGCGGTTTAGTTCCAAATCTGTAGATAGATTCCAAGAACATTCAGTGCTGGGGGCTTTCCGAAGTATTTGTTTCAGTTTACATTTGATACAGAACATTTCAGTAGGATTCTCCCAGTTGTATTTTTTATTGTGTGGTCATAAAAGCAGATTAAAAAAAAATTAGAGTATATATTTACAAATTACTTCATAGAAAAAACTTTATTGTTATATTATGAACTTTTCTTGTATTGTTGTCGTGTATTTTCTCCCTTTTGTATTTCCTAAGCGAAAATCTTCTCTTGGTAGCATATCTTTTTTTCAAATTCAGATAGTTTTTCATATGTTATTTATTTTAAACCTATTTAGGCCAACTCTCTTCCTCTCTTTTACTAAAGATTATATGGCTTTCATCATAATCTTTACTGAGCATGTGTGCACATGATTGTTATTTAAGGTACAATTCTTATTTGGGTAGAATTTAAATACAAGCACCTTTTTTGTTTTTGATTCTAAATCCCCCAGTTTCTTTAACTACTTCAGGACCTGCATTTTAAACTCCCCTTCCTGCCCAGGTCAGTTTTCAGCGCTGTGATAGTTTGACAATTACTCGGGAATGCACTGGACCCATGTGAATAGTAAATAATTTTTTTTTTTTTAGAACAACATTTTTTACATTTATTGTTTTCTATATTTAGAAACTTTAAACAAAAAATCTGTTTCCCTTACATTCTAGTATAAACATATCAAATACCAAAGTTAGGACAGTACGAACACCCCAAAAATTACCTCTTTTTGAAAAGTGCAAGCCCCACAATGTTTTGAAAAAGAAGAAACGTGCTGGTGTTGAGGTGGTTAAAAAATAAATTAAGGTCCACTTAGATTGTAAAAGTTGCCCACTGAAGCAAGCCAAGTGCAAGTCTCCGACTATTTGTGGAAGAAATTTCCCTGGAGGATGAAATTCCATTGCTTCAAGACAATCCCACAATCACTGGCCATTGCTAGCACTTAAAATCCCCAATACCAATCCCATGAAATTTGGAGTCGGTGGTCCTGTAAACCCTCCCTACCTTTAATCACAGCTTTCCTCTGTTGTGCCTTTAGCCATTGCTCTTTTCTGTCTAATGACAGTGGGAGCAGCAGATTTGTGCATGCAGTGAGGGCACAGACAATGTAATTAAATAGGCATGTCCACGCACTGCAGTAAGGGCACCAACTGGCTATTCCATTACATAGGCTGGAAGTGGTTAAAGGGGTTGCATAGTGTTTTTGTATATATTCTTTTTCATGCTAAGGACTAAAAAAATAAATTTATTAAAAAGTTTTTTTTAAGTAAGCTATGTATGAAACATTGCATAAGAATATTCTTTATCTATCCCTTTCAAACAGGTGGAGCGTTAGACTATTTTTCCTTTGTGCTGGCTTTACTACTGTGTATAAACCTCAAAATATTTTAAATTACATACAGCTGAGTAAGGCCTGGTTCACACCTAGGTGTTTTTGAGCAGTTGGAAAAGCGCTTTTAAATGCCCAACACAAGAAATCCCATGATTTTCAATGGCCCCCTGTTCACACTTGAGCAGCAAAACGACAGCAGGAAAATGCCAAACACCCAAAAAGTTACATGAGCTTCTTTGGGCAGTTAACAGCGCGTTTTTGCCCCATAGACTTCAATGGAAATGCCAGAAAACGCGCAGCAGAAGCATGTTGCACATTTTTTGTGTGTGCAATGTTGCAAAAGCTGCCAGTGAAAACGCGTATCAAAATTAGCACAACGCGCATAAACAAAAAAGAGGACACTGAACGCACGCGTACAAACGTTCAAAGATGATGCAGGCTAGGTGTGAACCTGGTCTAAGAGGAGGGGCACCTCCTTACTTTGCACCACACACCACTACACAGTACTGTCTTGATGCAAAATTGTCCTTTCTGTAGTCTTGGAGACATATGTTCTAATAACTGTTGACGAACACAAGCATATGGATTATATAAACAGTAGAGATGTCCAGATTCCAGTGCCGATACTCAGCATTTTCACGAGAACTACCAGGGTTGCAGCTGGGACCTGGCTCTGGCTCTCCACCACTGTCCTGAAATCATTAGTCTGTATTGTTTTAGAAAAACTGTCACATGACAATAAACAAAAATGTATCAGTACTTGTATCTGTGAGTACTTGGACTAGTATCAGTACTTGTACTTGAAAAAATGGTATCGGTGCATCCCTAATATATATTTATAAATATAAAATCATACATTATAACAGGGATGTACAAACCTCAGGAGCTCCGTGTGCTCCTTAACCACTTGCCGTCCACCCGTTGTAAAAAAACGGACGGACGGCACTGCAGCATTGGCGGGTTGCCGTCTCCAGACGGCATTTTTTTTCTGCTGGCGCACGCCCCCTTGCGGGCACGCACGGGCAGAAAAGACCCGACCAATGCAAACACCCGTTACCGGGTGTTTCACATATAGACGATCGGCGGCTCCATAGCCCGCCGATCGTCTATATGTGCTCGTTTTTTCGTCCCCCCCTGACCCCTCACCTTCAATCCCGGGATCCGCTGCCCCATCTGCGGCCCGGGACCGGCTCGGAGGGCGTCAGGAGGAAGAGGACGGGAGATCAGCTCCTTGCTGATCTCTCTCCGGGCTGTGAATGCAGAAGTTAAGTGTATTACATCACTTCTGCATTCACCTGTCAGTCATCTGGCTGCTATAGCCAGAGAAAAGAAGCTGATGAAGCAGATCTCTGCTTCATCAGCTTCTTTTGGGGTCCACAGGTGA